TCTGGGGAAGTGTAGGACATGGTTTATTGTAAATTTTCTTTTGTCTCATTGAGTGTTCTTTTTGGATTTCAGATTTGCCAGAATTTAGACGTCGCTCTTTATAGAAAATCGAAGACAATGTTGCCTCAGAAGCAAGCAGAGGAAGCTATTGTCTCGAACTTCAATGAGACTGAACATGAAGGGAAGGAGGAAGAGAAGGAAGAAGAACAGTCAGTGTTCAGTGTCAAGAGCCTCCTCTGGCATGGAGGCTCTGTTTGGGACGCTTGGTTTAGCTGTGCTTCAAATCAAGTATGTATATACACACAAAAACCTCTCATTTTTCACATATTTTGAAGCACATATAGATAAGTTTTGGTCATGTAATTCATTGCAGGTAGCCCAAGTGCTTTTGACACTGCCATACTCTTTCTCTCAGCTGGGAATGTTATCAGGCATATTGCTCCAAGTATTCTATGGTTTCTTGGAAGCTGGACTGCTTACCTTATAAGTGTTCTCTATATTGAGTACAGAAGCAGAAAAGAGAAGGAGAATGTTAACTTCAAGAACCATGTTATTCAGGTTGTTTTTTTTTTCTCTCTATCACCACCACTGATTCACTAGCCTCAAAACCTTAATGAATGGTTCTAAACAAACCCATTTGGATTGTTCTTGAACTGCAGTGGTTTGAAGTGCTTGATGGGCTATTGGGTCCTTACTGGAAAGCAGTGGGTCTAGCTTTCAACTGTACTTTCCTTCTCTTCGGATCTGTGATACAACTAATAGCTTGTGCAAGGTAATAAAACTTGCTTGATTTTTCAGATTTAGTGTGGGTTAATATCAAATGGGTTTTACTTAATTTGATTGTTTTGTTGCTTGTTGATGACAGTAATATATACTACATTAATGATCGGCTGGATAAGAGGACATGGACATATATATTTGGAGCTTGCTGTGCAACTACTGTGTTCATACCCTCCTTCCACAACTACCGGATTTGGTCTTTTCTAGGCCTTGGAATGACAACGTACACAGCCTGGTACATGACCGTAGCAGCTCTGGTTCATGGCCAGGTAAGCAAATTTGTTTCAAATTTCTGTAAATGGAAACCTTACTCTGAACTTTAAAGTGCTATATAAATATGGGAATTAAAGCTAGTGTGTGTTGGTTTCGCTCAGCTACCTCATTTTGTTGTGGGGTGCCACTCCATGAAGTGCGATGGAGCAAGTCGTGAGTATAACATCACTCTAGAAAACTTTAGGGACTTGCATATGAAATAGAAGAGCACGAGCAACTGCAATGAGGTGGTGATTTTTCGCTTAGGTACCCCATTTTGTTGTGGGGTGCCACTGCAAGAAGCGCGACGAAGCAAGCAGTGAGCAGTGAAAAAATAACGAAATGAATGAGAAAGATATTCTTTTGCATTATTAGATTGTAAAGTGCACACACACACTAAATTGAGTCTTGATTTATATAATAAAGGCTTTAAAAATAGAAAATAATTCAGAATGATCTTTCATTAAGAATGGTCAGGTCATCCTGGAAAAATCGTCTAAAAAGTAACAAAATACTTAAACTCTGAATAAGAAGAAAGACGACTAGGGCCCCAAATATTAGAATGAACAACTTTAAATAAACTAGAGACACGATTACCAATTCTGGGAGTCGCAAAGATGGATGACTAAGATGACAATACCATTGATGTGGAGAACATGAAGTGTGCAAAACAGAATTGCAAGTAGAGACTGCATCAAGAGAGTAAAGACCATTGTCTTCATGACCTTTACCAATCATTTTTCTCATCTGGAGGTCCTGAAATAGACAAAAAGAAAGATAAAATATGACTGAACATTTAAAGATTTAGTAAGTTAACTCATTGATGACAAATTGAATGGAAATTTAGGAACATGTGGAACTAAGGATAAATACAATGATGGAGTAGGATTCATTGTGCCAACACTAGAGACTGATGATGAAGATCCATCAGTTAAGAAGAGTGGGACAACAACACATGCATTACCTGGGCCAAAGTGGCTGTGCAAGTAGAAGTAGATGTAGAAGCCCCAGACTTGGAAACAAGTCGATTATACTCCTCCTTAGATACAATCTCTAATGCAGACGAAGGTTCACTAATACCAAATTGTCCTAAACCCATCTTAATTTGATGAAGACACAACATGGCATAAGATGAGGGTTTGCCACGGAGATCCCAATAATAATCTTCCGTATGACCTTTAAGTCCCCAATGAGTACATAGTTTCATGGATCCACGACCTCTACCACCCCGACTATCCACCGGATGACGACCACCTCCTACCGGACCACCCCGAATTTCCTCTTCCATTACAAAAAAAAGTATCATGAGAAAAAATGTTATTCCCTTGATTAGGCATTATGATTAAAGCCAAGCAGTCTAGTATAGAAACACCACTATCACTTTAGGAAGTCCGTTCAATACGAGAATAAACTTCTGGCATTGAAGGAATTTTCTTATTGGCCAAAATTTGAGCATGAACAGGTTTTAGTTTCGATTTAAATTCGAGAGGAAGTGAGCGACCATTAATTCCTCTGGCTATTTTTTCTGGACTTTTAGATTAGTATCAAAGGGATGATAAGCATTAAGATTATTCATAATATTTTGAAGAGTAGGTTAGTACTCTATAATACTCTTATCACCCTACTCCAAACTGAACAGATCTTGAAACAATTGATAAATTCTGGTAATATTATCCTCTGCTAAAAATAGTTGACTAACTGCAAGCCATACCTCCTTAGCAGTTTTAAGATACATGAGGTGAATGCTAATATGAGGTTTCATATTATTCCATGATAAAGTCATCAATTGTGAATTCTCTATCTTCCACTACTTAAGCCATCAAATTTGTTGGGCTTATCTTTTGTAAGATATTCAACTTTATTTTTTGCAGTTTGTTAAGTGTAGAGGATTAACATAATATTAGAGAGAAACAGAGAGGTTAAAACTTAACCTAACTCTCAAACATCACTTGTATTTGTAGTTAACTCACAATAATAAGAATTACACATACACTCTTTTACTATTAACATTTTACACATACTACCCTAATATTCTTAACACTCCTCCTTAAGTTGGACTATGTATATCATATAATCCAAGTTTGGAACAAATCGTTGTAAGATATGTATGATTCAATTCTTTGGTAAACATATCTACAAGCTGATCTTCAGATTTCACAAATGGAGTTGTAATCTCTCCAGCTACTATCTTATCCTGAATAAAGTGACAATCAAACTCAATATATTTAGTTCTCTCGTGAAACACCAGATTGACAGCAATATGGATAGCTGCCTGGTTGTTACGGAACAACTGTAAAGGAAGTTGAACTGGAAACCCAATTTCTTGGAGGAAGTATAGTAGTCAAGTCAACTCACTCGTCGTATGCCCCATTGCCCTATACTCAGCCTCAGCATTGGATCTTGCTACCACGAATTGTTTCTTACTTTTTCATGAGACAACATTACCTCCTAAGAATGTACAATAACCAGTGGTTGATCTTCGATTAGAAGGAGAGCCGCTTAATCAGTATCCGAGAAACCTTCCACTCTAAGATGTCCATTAGCTCGATATAACAGTTCAAGTCCATGAGCATGTTTGAGATATCGCAGAATACGAGTAACTGCCTCCCAATGTGGTATTCTAGGACACCCTATGAACTGACTTACTATACTGACTACATATGACATATTTGGTCGAGTAATAGTGAGATAATTGAGCTTTCCAACCAATCTGCGATACTGACCCGGATTCTCAAATAGTG